GCCGGGTCGATGGCGTCTGACATGAGGACGGACTTGAGCACGTCCGTTGGATATGTCGTGACCCAATACATGAGACCAGCGATGCCGCCGCACGCAAAGTTGAACAGCACGGGGAGATCGTCCACCTTGTAGTTGAGGTGGCGGGCGCCGAGCGTGCGCCCATACTCAAAGCAACCAAAGTAGACGGCATTGGCGGGGATGTTGCGGAGCAGCGTGGCGTGCAGGGCCTGGTACGGGCCGCGGATAACGCCGTTGGTGCGAACACACTCCCGCGCCACGTCCAGCACAGACCGCCGCATAGCAGTCTCTGGCAGTGGCCGTGACGTCGCAAACAGTGTGGGCCATAAACGTGGGGATGGGATGTACAAGGCAGGGGACCATGGTGACGTGTGAGGGAACACAGTGAAGCGGTGAAGTGCGTTGGAGGGGGGGGGGAGGGAGAGGCACGCAAACTGGTGTGCGAGACACCTTGTGCATGTACGTGCGACCGGTGTCTCGCACACACACACACACACTCTCTCTCTCTCTCACCCACATCCACACACACACACACGCACACACACACACACGCACACACACTCACACAAACACACACACACACAAAAACACACACACACACACAAACACAAACACACGCACACACTTCGGTGGATGTCTGTTTGCACTTGGGACTTGAAGAGATCGATGGGGCTCTCCACCATGGCTGCGGCAGCGCCAGTCATTGCGCCGGCGGCAAAGTAGTGCAGCGCTGGGAGCCGTTGGCCATTCTCTTCCCGCAGCCACTGCAGCAGCCGCGTGCTCTGCCCAAAGGAGAAGAATAGCGTGGCTCGGAAGAACATCTGGCCCGCCAGCGGCGATGTCACGCCTGAGGCAGATGAAAGGGGGGGAGTGTGTTCAATTGGTAGTGGTGTTGTTGTTGACGACGACGACGAATGGTGGTAGTGGTGGTGGTGATGAGTGGATCGGAGGGGAGAGTTACACAAGCCAAAGATCGCGGAAAGAGAAGCAAAGCACAGACACACACACACGCGCGCGCGCGCGCACGCACACACACACATGCACACAAACGCACGGACCTTTGTAAAAGCCACTGATGCCTTCCTGTGCCCATGTTTTGTGAACGCAGTCCAATGTTGAGCTGCAAAGCGAATCGTGCAGGCGTCAATCCTGCGCATCACATCACGCCACATCGCCCAGCACCGCAGCACACGACTACAATGCTGCATAACAGCATCCACGCGGTGACGCTCAACCTCACCTGTACACTGGGTTGGTCTTTGGCTGCGTCTGCAGACGAACCTACGGAGCATCAACAAGAAGAACAAATCAGCCACGAGAAAAGCAGACCTCAGAGGTTTTGAGTGTAGCGATTCACCACCTCGCACTGTGACAAAGCGGCAGTGTAAGCGGCAGTGTAAGCGGCAGTGCAAGTGGCAGTGCAAGCGGCAGTGCAAGTGGCAGTGCAAGCGACAGTGATGGCACTCATTTCCCGTAGACAATGGCGACACGAAACGCACAAACACAGACCGACCTTGACTGTGTCAAAGGGGTGGCCAACAAGGGTGAGCGCAATCCCCCCGACGGTGCCAGCTATCACATCGTCCATGCTTGCTTGGCTTGCTTGGCTTGCTTCTCGCAACCACTGTCTGTCTGTCTGTCTCTGTGTCTGTGTGTGTGTGTGTGTGTGTGTGTGTGTTTGTGCGTGCGTGTGCGTGCGTGTGTATGTCTGCCTGTCTGCCTGCCTGCCTGTCTGTCTGCTGCTCGTGTTGCTGGAGCGCGCCGTGTCCGTTGCTTCGCTCGTCCGCGCGTCAATTGGCGTACGACAGCACAACTTTTGCGGCTGACTTTGGGATTGATGGCGTCATTTGCGATAATTTACGTATATTTTCATGTAAAAATCGGACGGCCCACGCCACATTGCCAGATTTCCCAATTTTTGTTTATTCTGCCCGATTCTTTCACGACTTTTCGTTTGCCAACACGCACCGCAACCCACACCCGTCCTCCTCCCCTTCTGTCCTCCTCCTCGCTCACCATCCACCACCATCAACGCGACACACACACACAGGTGCGTGGCTGGCTCTCCTTGCCTTGCCTTGCTGTGATGCGACCGGCACGAACTCCAACCAATCCGCCAACCAACCAGCCAACCAACCCCCAAAGGGCACACACGCTACGACACATCACCTTTACTTCTCGCCTTTGTTTTTTATTGGCTTCCTTTCTTGCTTGCTTGTTGTCTTGCTTCGCCATCAATCATCATCACTGCTTCGCGAGGCAGGACTTGCTTCCTGCTCTTGCTCAATCATACCGCTCACATCAACGCACACACCACACACACGCACACACACACGCACATACACACACCGCATCACACGCATCACACGCACGCACACGTACGCTCACACATACACACACCACCACGCGTCACGCCATACGAACCAACCAGAGCACATCCATCTTCAACTGACACACAACCTACCAGCATCACGCACGCCATCAGGTACCGTTTGTGTTTCGCGTGCTCATGTTTCGCTTTTGACACCAGGTCGTGCGTTGTTTCGGGCTGGTCCTGCGAGCCTCGTGTGCGTGCGTGTGCGTGTTTGCCTGCGTGTGCCTGTGTGTGCGAGTGTGCGTGCGAACGCACGCACAATGGCCAGGGTGCGTCCTACTTCTCCCTCTTTCCCCTTTTGTCTTCCTCTTCCCTTCCTTCGTCTGATTGCCCTTCCCACTTCGCGCGGCTCCCCAAGCAAGTGATTTTCAACTGCCACCTTCCCCTCCTCTCGATGTTTTTCTCGTGTCTGTTGGATGTGTTGACATGCAATCCTACGTGTGTGTCACGCACGGACTGCCTGTCGTCGACACGAGACTTTGAAGCCGCGCTGTCCTTGTTGATTGCCTCCACCCTATTGCGTCTTGCATCCTTCGGCCGTTGCATTTCTCTTCCCACCTGTTCTCTCGCCATCTTTGTGTCCCTTGTAATTGCGAGCGGCGCATGTTCTCGCACTTGCGTGATGACGCTGGCTTTTTGTGGCAGTGGCCCGTCTGTCATCTGCGACCGTTACGGCTGCAGTGCAACGCGCATGCGCATGATGCGCATGATGCGCCCGAACCGCTTCTAAACACACCGCTGCCATTGCTCGTGCTTTGCGCTTTTGTCCTACTTCCTCCTTCTGCCGCGCCCGCGTCGCATCTTTCCCATGTCCTCTCCCCCACCCTCTGGTTTCTGCTGCGCGCTTTGCTTTCGTGTCGTGCTGCAGCCGACTGCACCCGCCTGCGTTTGGGGCTGCCGTGGGTGCGGTGTCGTGGTCGGTGTGGGTGGTTGCTTGCTGACTATTTATTATCGCTGGCGGTGTCCTTTCTTCTTCCCTCGCTGCCTGGGTGCGGTCACTTGGTCGTTTACCACTCCACCCTCACCTGCCAGCACCCAAATCAAGCAAGACCGCGGTGCGGTGGCTCTCCCTGCTCGCACCATTGTTTCCATGACTTCATTTCCTCCATTGCCATCGACCTGTCCCCCTCCCCTCTTCGTTCCCCTTGCCACCATTGTATTACCACCTCGCACCTCCTGTTGCGAACCCCCCTCGCTCGCTGCGGGTCTTGTTCATGTTGATGTGGCTCGCAGCTAACACTCCTTCCATTCAGCATCCGCCGTAGTGTATTGGGTGCTGGCTGTCCCACCACGCACACACCGTGCACAAGCGTCCTTTGCTTGCACGGCTCCCACAACAACCTCTTACCCCGTCCCCGTTCCCTTCTCCTCCTCCTTCCTTTTCTTTGCGTCTTCTTGACGCCTCCCTTGTCCCTGCCCTGTTCGCTGGGCTCGTGTGTCGACACCTGACCACCCTTCTTCCGCTCCTCCTTCCCCATTCATCCATCCTACCTGCCTTTTTTTCCCTCCTTCATCATCACTCCCTGCGCAATACGCACCCGCGCGCTCGCACGCCATCTCATAACCACCCCCCCCTCCCTCCGTGCTTGCCTCCTCTCCCTGGCCTCACATCTCACGGCCAACTCACGGCCAACTCACGGCTGCTTGTGTGCTTGATTGCTTGGTTGATTGATTGATTGCCCACAACAACACCAACGACCGTCGCCATGCAGCGCTACTTCTTCTCATCGCTCCCGCTGATTGTGCCCCAGCACCCAGCAACACCGCCCGCCTCCACCCCGGGCCTCTCCCCGCTCCGCTACACGCACCCAACTTACCAACACCACCCGCTGCCTTACCCCTATCCCTACCAACAGAAGCCGCAGCAGCAGCAGCAGCAGCAGTACAAGTCCAAGTTTGTGTACTCGCCCCCGTTTCAGCTGCTCACCCCGCCCGCCCCAACAGCGACAGCAGCGCGAACACCGCAACTGTCGCCAATGACGCCGCAACCGCCCGGGCCCGGAGCAGCGGTGCTGCACCCGCAGCCGCCATCCCCCGCCACCCAATACCAGGCATACCCACACGTGCAACAACAACAACAGCAGCAGCAGCAGCAACAGCAACAGCGGCAACAGCAGCAGCGGGTGCCTGGTGGTGTCGGCAGTACTGAGGCTGTGTCACGTGGATACCAACCCAAGGCGAGCCAGCCAATGGCGATGACAATGGCGATGGCGATGAATGGTGGGACGGCCACCAAGCAGCATCAGGTGTGCAGCACAGCAGGCATGGCCAACGGTCCGCTGTCAGCCACCATGTCGCTCCCCGCCACGCCAGCAACACCACTGACCCCACAGGCGTCTGCAGCAGGCACGGTCACAACGACAACAACGACAACAACGACAGTAGCGGCGGCGGCCACTGACAGCGTGTCGCTGTCACGGGAGGCGTCTGATGCTGCCGACGCAACCGTCCACACCAAGACCGCAACCAGTGGCTGCACGCGTGTCAACAGCAAGGACGGCGGCAAGAAGGACGTGTCGTCGCCCGCGTCTTTGGAATCGCCGCTGGTGCGGTCGCGCGAGGGAAGTGCCAGCGACGGCAGCGCTGATGACGAGGACGTGTCTGCAGGCGTCGACAGCCCAAGCAGTGCAGGCTCAGCCGCCACAACCACCAGCACAACCGCCACCACGATGCATGGCGGTGTTGATGGTGTTGATGGTGGCAGCCGGCGTGCGAGCGACCCGGCCATCAGCCCCGGTGCCGCAGAGCCAGCAGCAGATGGCAACAGCGCCACCGCTCCCCAGCACCAGCACCACCAGCAGGCAGCGGTTGTGTCGAGCATATCACCACCAGCAGCAGCCGCAACCAACGCCGTGGCGCTGAAGACCTGCATTTCAAACACCAGCAACTCAAGCAACACGAGCAACTCGAGCAACTCAAGCAACACGAGCAACAGCGCTGGCGTGTCGACAGGACATGGGTATTCGTCGATGGTGCCGGGCGGCCGGGCGTACCCGCTGCAGGCAGCGAACTCCATGCCACCACAGCAGCAACAGCAACGGCAGCAGCCGACAATGGGGACGCCAATGATGCAGCACGGGCAGTACATGCACACAGCAATGCAGCAGCAGCAGCGGCCAGCAATGGCGGGCGTAAACCAGTACCAGGCTTGGGGCTATGCAGTGTGGCAGTCGACACAACAGCACGGCGCTGCGCCCACCGGCACAATGTCTGGCAGCAACAGCAACAGCGGCACCAGCAGCACCAGCAGCAGCGCATATCGCCCAATGCCCATGGCGGGATACAGCGGCACTTCACCCGCGCCCCTGGCCCACACCTGGCAGCAGCAGCAGCAAGGCGGGGCTGACCTCACCCAGAGCAACGGCAGCGCGGTGAACAAAACAAAAAAGACAACAGCGACAGTGAGCGCTAGCACCAGCAACAATGGTACTGGTACCGTTAAGGCTGAGCTGACGGCCGCTGTCAGCAGCACAAAGACGAGTGCCACACCGAAGAACACAACGACGACGCCAGCCCCAGTGAAGCAGGAGCCCGCAGCCAATGCGAAATCGTGGCGGCCACAGCCAATCACAGCACCATCGCCAGCAGCAGCGACGATGGCGGTGAAGAAAGAGGCAAGGCAGCCAACGACTACAACGGCAACAGAGGCGCAAGTGGTGGCGTCACACGGGGAGCAGGGAGAGGCGGCACTCGCCATGATGTCCATGATCGAGAACATGCATGCCCAGGCACCCGCCACAGCCACGTCCACGTCCACGTCCACGGCGACAGCAGCAACGACGCCAACGTCAAGCGCCGTGAAGAGCAGCACCAGCAGCACCAGCGCGGCGGCGCCGCCACTCTACCAACAGCAGCAACGGCTTGTTTCATCGTCGTCGTCGTCGTCGTCATCGATGCTGCCTGCGACAAGCATGGCGGGGCAGACGCTGAGCGGCGTGTCTGTGATGTCGCCGTACAGTCTGCAGAGCTACAACCCGCAGCAGTACCAGCAGCAGCAGGGCTACATGCAGGGCCAGCACTCGCCCTACTATGCCCAACCCATGCAGCGGCAGCAGCAGCACCAGAATGGCGGGCATGGGCCACAGGGCACCAAGCTGTCAACAACGACACCAACCCCAGCTACCGCCACAGCGACTGCGACCACGCCTATCGGTGTTGCCCCCGCCACCTCGACCAACGGCCGCGGCAGTGGTGCTGATGGTGATGGTGTGACGACTGGTGCCATGATGGCGCCAACAACGGCGAGCGGTGAAGGGCGGTTTGTGTGCAACGTGTGCAACCGCACGTTCTCGTGCTCGTCCAACCTGCACCGCCACCACCGCACACACACGGGGGAGCGGCCGTACGCGTGTGCGCACTGCGGGGAGCGGTTTGTGAACAGCAGCAACCGGAACAAGCACGAGCAGGCGCATGCGGCGCGGGCGCTGCGGTCGCTCGGGCAGAAGGGCGGCATCACAACAGAGCTGCAGCAGGCCGACCAGCTCGCCATCGCCCGGGTACGTACGCACGCACCAACGCGTCGCTGTGTCGGCCGGGTGTTGCTAGAGGAATGGGCAGGGGTGTTGGGCAGGGGTGTTGATCAACGAAAACGAGAGAAGGAGAAAAAAGGGTGATGTGTGTTTTGTTTGTTGTGGGGAGGAAGAGCGTGTGCTCAGTTGTTCTTTTGTGCGTGCTGTTGCTGTGTGCGTACCCCGTGATTCCGTGACTTCACCTGCTCGCTCTGTTCCTCATGCCCATCCTCCCTCTGTGCGTTCCCGCACGTCTCAGATCCAACAGGAGGCGGCGAACAACCCGCTGCAGCTGCTTGCGCTGACGATGCAGATGATGGATGAGGGCCCCGATGCCCCCAAGCGGAAGCGCTCAAAGCCGCGCTCCACCAAGCGACACCTCTGTGCTGACTGCGGCAAGACTTTCTCCTGCTCCTCCAACCTCCACAGGCACCGCCGCGTGCACACAGGTGTGTGTGTCTGTCTGTCTGTCTGTCTGTTTGTCTGTGTGTGTGTGTGTGTGTGTGTGTGTGTGTGTGTGTGTGTGTGCCTCCGTAGCCGATAGCTTTGTGCGCCGCTGTGGGAAGTGCTTTCCCTTTGCTTTCCGCTGTGCCTCACTAGCACCCTCCGCTCCTTTCTGCACTCGTCTTGCTCTCGCCCGGTTTCGTGTGCAGGGGATAAGCCATATGCGTGCAAGTTTTGCGGGACGCACTTCTCCAACAGCAGCAACCGGCGCAAGCACGAGCGCTGCCACTGCAAGCTGCGGCCCACAGACGGCAGCATGAACCTTTCGTAGGGTGTGTGACGGTGGTGACAACGGCCCTTGCTGCTGCTGCTGTGCTGAATGCCTTGTTCTTTCTTAACTGAGCGACTTGTTGCAATATGTCGATACAGGCTGTGTGTGTGTGTGCGCGTGTGTGTGTGTGTGTGCGTGTCCGTGTGTGTGTATGTGATGTGCTTCTAGGGAAGAAGAAAGAGTGTATTGTGTCGCACCTTTTCGCGAGTGTTTTCCTGATATGAGTTGATGTATTGGTGTGATGTGGTGGGTGTGACATGACACATGTGTGTGTGTGTGTGTGTGTGTGTGTGTGTGTGTGTGTGTGTACGCGCGCGCGCGTGTGCTGCTTGCTGTTGCTTCGATCCTAATGCTGCTGTAGTCGATCTCCCCGGTTGTGTTTTGTTTTGTGCATGGTTGTGTTGCGCACGCATGTTTATTTGCATCGATGCACTTGCTGGGGTGTACATGTACGCATAGGTGTCAGTCGGCTTTGGCTCGGCTCTTTCTGGCTTGCTTTGCTTTCTCTTCTTACCCTCCTCTAATACACGAAGCGTATCTCCCCAATGCCAAAAGCGACGCGGGTGGCGGCTGGGGAAGTACCCTCCTCGCTTGCTTGCTTTGCTCGTTGCTGACTTGCTTCTTGCTTGCTTGCTTGCTTGCTGGTGGATAATGAGTCATCATTCAAAGATAGATAGCAGACACAGAAGACAGGAGGGGATATGGGTGCTGTTGAGTTGTGCGACGAGTTCAGCCATCGCCAATGCGTGAGTTCGTCGATGGCAAGGGAAGCGGGGACGGGGAGACGGAGAGAGAAGGGGGTGGGGAAGATGGTGGCGTGAATGCTGCTGCTGATGCCGTTGGGATGTGCTTTGGTGGTGGGTTTGATTGTGAACAACGTGGCAGTGCCTCACGTGTGCATGACGTGTGTGCAGGCGACGATTCTTGATCTGCGCATTGCCGCAGCAAGCTTATCCGTCGCTGGCTGGTGCGTTGTGTGTGTTGGGTGATGGGGGGGAGGAGGGAAGGGGTCTGTGTGTTTGTGTTTGTGTGTGTGTGTGTGTGTGTGTGTGTGTGTGTGTGTGTGTCTGTCTGTCTGTCTGTCTGTCCTTCTCGACAAGATAAAGAGACATCTTTGCAGTCCGCTCCGCTCTATTGTCTCCATCTCCTTCTTCTTTTCAGTACTTTTATTTTTGTTTGTTTCTTTTCTCTTTCTTTTTTTTCTTTTCTC